CTTTATTATCATAAAAACAAAAAGTTTTTTGAGAACATCTGTTTTTTGGGTTGGCAAAAGGATCAGCAGAAAGAGTTTATTGATAAATATTTAGTAATAATTTCAAAAATTCTTAAACAATATACTATTTTTATAAATAATAAAAAACTTGAAAACAAATTTATTGAAGATTTTATAAAATCAAAAAAATATTTTTTTTCTAAATCTCAATTAGATTCTTTATCTATTTTAACAAGTATTTTCTTTTAAATTTTTTTAAAAATTTATATTTTAAACAAAATAAATTGAAAAAAATTGTAAACAAACTAAAGTTTATATTTTATCAATTGAAAAAAGTTTACAAAAGAAATTTTTCTATTACATTAATGATTAAATAAAGATAATAAACACTTATTTAATTATGGAAAAAAAATATTTTTATTATATATATTTATATTTATGTATTTATTTATTTTATTTTAATTATTATTTATTTTTAATTGGCTAAGGGCATTAGATGTGAGGTTTTATGGGTAATGAAATATTCTACCATTACATCAAACATCTTTACAAGCTAAACTATTGCTATTCTAGATATGAATTATTTTTATTATTTTATAAATTATTTTATGTATAATATAATTATTTAATAAAAATTTTTTTTAAGATGTAATAGTTTTTAATTAAAGTATTAAACTTAAAATTTATAAAAATATTAAAAATAATCAATTATGCGAAATTCGTTACGTGTCGATCACGTGAATCTTACATAATTCGGAAATTTCTCGCTGCACGAGTGACACACGGGGAGCATATTTCTGCACCCTGACACTAGTATATACGTATATCTAATATAACGTTTTAAAAAAATGTACATGTCGCTCCCATTTAATTTTAATAAATATCGATCGAGGTTTAAAAAAGTGTTGCATAACTTTTCACTGATCACTCGAGATCTAATTCAACCATGGAGCAGCAGATCAAAAGGAATAAGAATAATCATGAACAAATAAAAAGCATGTAAAAAATTCCACTACTGCTTTTTAATAAGACAAAATTGATAGAAATTTATAAAAGATTAATCTTATTTTTATTTTCTTTATAAATAAAATTTGAAAATCATAACATACTCGATAAAGTAACTATATATCATCATCACCTTAAAGAAATTATAAGATTTAACAATAAATATAGAATTATGATTTTAAAAATTACAGATTTCTTACCAACTGTATGTTCAGTGTTCATCATTTTTATCCAGTCGATTTCTAAACAAAAAGGCCCGGGCTGACTCAACAAAGAAAATCCAATAGTACGAACTTTTTCTCTGTACATTATTACCTGTGGATCTTGTATGATACCCTGATTAGTTAAAATAAAGTCTTTAAAAGGAATCTATATTTTATAATAAATTTCGAAAAGCTAAAATAAATGTATATTAGAAATAATGCAATGCACAGTGTTTAAACTTTACCATAACAGTTTCCCATTCGCCAGGTTTTCTCAAAAATAAACGATGCTGGTATAAATCAGTTGGAATAGGTCCATCGGTCTGTATATTTACAAAGTATTTTTTATGATCACCTCTTGCTCGTATCGTTAGGTATCTGAAGGGTACAGTATCCCAAGTTACGGGACCAAACAGTGACCTACGATTCTTTTAACATCGAGTCAATTATAAAAAACGTGTATGACATATCAATTAAGACAGAATTAGATAAGTGTAGGTATTTACCATTGATTTGATAGCAGCATACCCACTTTTTTCTATAATTGGATTTTTTTTTGGTAACTCTAATGAAATACTACCAGAAAATCTTCCAACTCCTTCTGGAGTAATTTCCAAGTTTGCATTCGAATATCCTTGTTAAAAAACATACATTGAAAAACAGTTTAGTATGGTTATTGAAATATAACAATAACAGGGAAAAAGGATTTGTTCACAATACAAACCACCTATATCCTTGTCGCATCCAAGAACCCATTCTTTTAGATCTTCCCGAGAGTTTAAAGTTAGTAATGGTTTTTCTTTATCCCAATGTGTAGGATTAGCCCTGGCAACTTTATCAATATAAGTTTATTGAAAAAGTTTCTTATCGATATCATTATGGTAAATAATTTACTTTTCATTCCTTGTTCCTTAACAACATCAAGCGAACGCCTAAAATAATTGAACATTTTATTAATGGAGGAACACGTCAATTTAGGCACTTCTTTTTTGAAAGCGTTTTCGGACCCTAAAATTATAATGATATGCGCGGTCCCCTAAATATACTCACTTGATCAAAAAAATTTCGAATCTTATTTTTTTTCGTTTAAAGACCATGTAATAAAATAACGTAAAAAACTTTGTTCACTTTGAACAAAGGCAAGAGAATTGTTTTTTTTGTTGTTAATAGATTTTAACACAATTATGATTCATTTTGTTATATATTTGAGTTCTCTTGTCTAATCAATATTGCCACATAAACTTATTCTAATTGAAATTGCTATTAAAAAAGATATTAATCAATTATTAGTTGTAAGATTAAAAAAATCAGAAATTTAGAGGACAAACCAAGATCTGGTTGTCTGTATTTAGTTTTTGATTAATATAAATGAAAATTTATTCATTTAATACAATTTTGTGAATGATTGAATACTGTTCAAGTGTAAAATAAGCTTTTGAAGTATGATAACTTAAATATTTCTATGACATATACTTAGAAATAATGGTTTTTTTGTTCAAATAAGATGAAAAAAGTCACTATTTCAAAAAATTAAAAAAAAAAATAATTGGTTTAGACAAAAAAATATAAGAATTAGATTCTAAATAATTAAAAATATATAATTTAATTAAATAAAACCAAGTTTTTATTATTTGACTCTAATAAAAGACTAGAGTTTTGAAAAGTATCAAACTGGTATCAAAATAATATCAAAATAGTATTGATTTATAATAGATTTAATATATGGATTATGACCTATTTATATAAATTTATAGTAAATTTAAATATCAAATTGATTATTAGAAATCTTATAAAAAATAATATTATTAAAAAAACTATAAAAACCTTTATTAATTAAATATATTATTTCAATATTAAATTTAAAAATTATTTGAAATATTATTTTTTTTTTTCTGCAATCAGGCTGGGGCCATTATTTATTAAATCATAATAAACCATTATACAGTATAAGAAGAGTCTATTTAGCTATTGTTATATTAATTCAGGCTACTTATTCTTTTTATCAAAATATAAACTTATACTATAAAAGTTTTTTTTTTTTTAATAACTGGTATACACTATATTTATTAAATATGAATTTATAATATGTGTTTTTTCTTTTATGGAAATTGACTACTACCTATCTATTTAATGAAACTATTTAGAGAAAGTTCTTATGACTTTATTCACCAGTTGGCTTATTATCTTTCATTTTTCTATATTATTAACACTGAAGTTCTGATAGTATAGGTGATGAGCTAATATGCCAGCATATGTGTCTTTTAGTTCCGTCTATTATCTGATGAATGGAAACTTGAAGAACCATATCCTAATATGATTAGCTATAAACTAATTATATTTAACAAGAAGTCTTTATAGCTTTAATTAGGTTTCTTAAAAAATTGACTTCATATATAAGAATCAGGAAAAGCATCAAACTTGACAATAATTATTGTAATACTGCCAAACAATCATTATACTATTACATCTTTTCTTAATATTACAATTCTAACACCTATTAAAGCAACATATAAATTGACTTCTTATAGAAAACAGTATATATTAGGTTATGGCACCAGATATCATATTGAGACAATTTGATTGCCTTTACTTGGAATTGAACTTGGTATCTTGTGATAGTAATTAGAAAATACCAATTCTTCTTACTTTTGTTTTTTCAGAAGTTTCATATTAGCCTCCTGGAGAATCTGAACCAGTATCTTATGATTTAACCTGTGAAGTACTAACCACTATACTATAGATCCACAGGTTGTCTTACACTATAAAAGTAGATTTATATCTTAGATTTTTACTACTATGGGTAGTTATATTAATTGCTTATACAAATATCTATCATTTTATATCTTTACTACTATCAATTGTATATAGAACAGTAAATATTTCTCAATACAAGTATACACTTTCTAGTAAATATTTCAATTGATCACTAGTTAGCACTAACTATACAAATTTAAAATTATTTTAATTAAGTGAAACATAATTCCTTAAGAAACTTGTTCTTTAAACTCATAATAGATACTTTATTCAAACCAGTTAATATAGATTGTCAAATATAAAGATATTAATATCAAGCAAGATACAACTTTTATATACTCTATCTTTTCATATTATTGCTATAAATGATACATAAGTAATACTGATAAGGTATCCATTTTTAAGATTTTTTTATTTTGGCAATTAAGTTCAACTACTATAGGTAACTTTTGATAATTATTATACTTTAATCAGATAATTACCTTTTTTTTTTTTTAATACCAGAATGGCAATTAATATCTTTATTATTTATAAAAGATTGCTGTATAGCAATATTACAAATCTAAAAACTAATATACATCTCTCTTTGCTAAGAAGAGTCTAATGTAAGATGCAACAAAAGTGGTCCTGACCATTCCAGTATTGTCCTATAAACCTACCTAAGTGCTAGTAAAATATAATATTAAAACCTAAAATTAATACTCAGACAGGTGTCTAGTATGAACTAGGAAAAATTAAAAATATCCAAACACATCTCCAAGTCATGAATGGGATTTGACACACTTGCTTTCCAAAGTTGGCTTAATGTATAGCAGGCAGAGAAGTGAAGAAGGAGAGAGTTGGTTATATTTTTTTTACACATGAAGGCACTGCAGCCACTTTTCACAAGTTGGCCTCCAAGTCATATAAAGAGTTTGGCATATTTATTTTCCAAGTGTGGCAAAAGTGTTCAATGGATAGAGTTGAATTAAAATTTCTTAAAGACATTGTTATCTAACCATGCACATGGACCTACATTGTCAAGAGGTGATCAAGAAACTTCTGTTGTCAACACCAGCTCTGTTTGCAGGAATAACTAGAATCTCTGGTTGTCACATGTCATCTTACTAGATATCCCAGACACCAGCATGTCACTTGTAGAAATCTACACTAGCATTGGCTACCATATTGCTAAAAACAGTGGGGCGCAACTTCCTGGGAGTTTGAATAACAATAGTTGTACAGTGATTTTTTAGATGTATCTAGTCTAACTATTAACAAGTAAACAATATCAGATATAGTAATGATGATCATGCTGATCTTTTGAAGAAGGTAAACCATCCATTCTTTTTCTAAAAAATCATGAAAGCGAGAAACTTTTTAAGGCTCACAACATAAAAGAAGTAATTACTTCTTAATATGGTTTTTAAGAAAAGGAAGTCAATTGGCCAGAGAGGTGATAAGATAGAGAGCAGTAGCTTTTAAGAGAAAGAGAGGCCTAGAGAGGAAAAACTTCAAAGGAAAGAAAAAAACCTAACTTTGGTAGGGAGAGGGAAAAAAAGAAGAAGAAGGAGGTATATATAAAAGAAAAGTTTGTAGAAGAGAAGAAAAAAACAAAAGAAGAAAAAAAAAAAGAGTAATAGAAAAGAAAAATTGTATTAGAGAAAGGAAAAAGTGAAAAAAAAGAAACAACTTAAAAATTTCCTAAAAAGGAAATTTTCAAGCGTATGGAGAAGAGTGAAAAAGAGTTTTTAATCAAATAATTACTTATCATTATTATTATTATTATTATAATAATAAGCTTTACTCTAATTTATTAATTTTTTGTTGTAAACAACATACATTGTATATTTCTGTTCACTAAAAATTATTACAATTAGAATTCACCCACAGGTATACCATCCAGGTGCAGCCTACCTATATGTATTGCCGACTCAAGCTTATTTCAATAAAATAATATTTTCTAGACTATCATATGTACCCCTATTATTTTCTTCTAACCATCTTTCTATTATTCTGACCTTTTCTATGCTGTCTCCCTCTCCTTTGCTTTTTCCCTTCTTTTTTCTTTTTATCCCCATGTCCTTTCTTTTTCTTTTATCCATTTTCATCTTTTTCCCTTTGTGTTTAGCGATTCCCTCTATCTCTTTCCATTTTTTTAGGTCTATGTTACGCTTTATCCATATCTGTCGCATTCCTTTCTCTAGCTTGTTTATTATGTTTGTTATCATATGCTTTGGCTCCTTGACCCCAAATTTCTTCAGTGCCTGTTTCCATTCTCCAGGCACAACACCTTTTATTATCTCAGACTATTCTATCTCTTCTACACTTTCATTTAACATTTTGTCAATCTGGGTTTCCAGCTCCTCTTCCGTGAGTTTTCCTTTGCTCTTTCTTGTCTCTTCTTTAATTAAATCCTTTATTTCTTTTATCATTGCCTCTCTTCTGATTGTTGCCTTTCTATATTCCCATATGTGGTCTTGCGTTTTTTCTTCTTCATTACATCTTATGCACTTTATATCTTCCCTATATATCTTCGGATTTCTCTGTTTCATTTTTTCCAGTGTGAGCAGTTCTCCTACCATCATTTTTAGTAGCCATACCTGATACTCTGTTGATTCTTTTGTCCGCTACCTTTTTATTTGTTCCCATGTCTCCTTCCAGTCTATTTTTTCTCTTGTTTCTATTCAGTGTAGTCTTTTATTCCTCTCTAGTAATAACCAATTCTGTAATTGTTCTGCTCTTGTGCTTATTTTCCATATCTTTTGCCATCCCCAACTTTGCTGTCCCTCTTGCCATACTAGCCCTCCATCTTGTGTGGCTTCTGTTGTCTCTGGCCTTCTCTCATTGTTTTTGAGTTCTTCCTTGAATATCCTATCCATCTCTTCAAACTCTTTGTTTGTTTCATTTTCTTTGACCTTTGTCACTGTTATTGTTTTTTCCATGTTTTCTGCCATCCATCTCCCTAGTCTTGTTAGTGTTGTACCTTCTTTATCTAGTCTTTGCATTTTCCACTTCGTTCTGTAATTCCCATTAATATATTTGACTGCTGTCTCTGCATCTGTATATATTCTTATTTTCTCTGCCTTTCCTATGTTTTCTAACCCCCTTATAATTGTTTCTATTTCTATTTGTGTTGAACTTTTTGCTGGTTTTTTCAGGACACCTGTCACTTCTTCTTTTACTCCCATTTTAATTATCCATGCCCCACATCCT